GAACGGAACCTCACCACCTATTCATGACCATTTAGATCAAGGTAAAAGATATAGGAACCAGTGAGGGAATTAGAGCCCAGTCTTGCGCTACCTGGCTACAGTGGGTTGTCTTCTCCTCTACATAAACATGATACCCCCCTCCTCCCCACCCCACCTGCCCTCCCTTCCCCGTGTAACCTAAACAATTCACTTGCTGTACGAATGTACGCATCTTCTCCATGTGCAGAACGCCAGTGGGTCCCTGATAACCCATTCCAGCAATTCCAACTGCCTGCAGGCGGCTGTACTGTTATTGGAGATACTACCTCTATAATTGCCTTAAATGTTGTTCAGATGTTAGTGTTCATGTAATGCATATGTTCAGTGGCTGTGTCCATTATCTTTGAGATGGGGCTTGGTTCCCCTTGTGTAAACCTTTTTGTTTATGTTTATTTGTATTTGTACAAATCTTGTTAAATAAAAGAATTTATAAAAAAAAAAAAAAAGAAATGTAAAGGATATTTTTGTTAGGTCATACTTTAATAGATGTTACTTCAAAACTGCCAGCTACATCAGGTAGCTTCCTTTAGTATAACAAAAAAGAAAGAGGAAAACATGAAAAATATTCAGAATATATGTAAAAAAAACTTGGTATAGTCCAGGATAGGATTTATATACTGCTAAGGTTGTGAAACTTCCTGAGCTAGGGGATTCCCTTTGGCTTTTGGCATCTGACTGAGTTTCTTGATTAGAAGTGGAGTCTCACAGTGTTTGAATAGCAGTGCTGTTGGAGCCTGAGAGAGAGCTGAAAGACCTGGAAGTATGCAGAGTTGCTAAAAGAGTTGCCTTTATATTCCATGTTTCCATTAGAGCTAGGCAACAGTATGTTTATTTAGCGCTCAGTAAAAGTAATAAATTACAGTTTGATGCCCCGTAAGAAACCATTAATGGCTCTACTTTTTCTCTGTCTCCATCTTATAAAGAAATCGTCCAGTAATACTTAGCACTATCATTTTTTTATTGCAGTTTAATTGATGTGCCAACATTTTATACATTTTAAAGGGAATACAAAGGTTTTTTTGTGTGAAAGTATACTTACCTCATCATTTTAACTGAATATTTTTGCTAAAAACTGTTAACTGAATAAATCGGAGTGTAGCCGGACAGCTCTGGCCCCCTTTAGATTCTGGGCTTCAAGCAGACACATTGTTTGCTCGTTTATGCCTATGGCTTGATGAACTTTGTATGACAGTATACTTTTGTAAGAATTAAAAGATGTCAATAGAAAATAGATGTTGATCTTTAGCAATCTTTACTCTAATCGATCTACCTTACCTGATTGATAACATAATATTATGTTCTTTGTCAAACCAATAGACGGTTTTTCAGAGAAAACCTTATAAAGTCATGTGATTAAGTTACATTATCTACTCGAGCCCTGTAGCAAACCCTCCCTTCTGGTGGCACATTTTGAATTGGGAAGCAAGACAGTGTCTTACAACAGTGTCTTACAACAGGCTGTACCCTGCTTATAGTATTTAATATTGCAGACACCTGACAACATAAAAAAAAGAACAAGAGGGGGAAATGAAAAAATGAATACATTACCTGTAGCAACCAATAGTACACTTACTTTTTAAACTTATATTAAAAACATTGAAAACTGGTTGTTTATATGAAAAATGTCAGTAGTTTCTTTCCTTTTACTTTCATTTTGTTTTACTATTTACTCAGGGCTAAATGTTCTTTATTGTAATATGTTTTAGTTTCTTGTATTAAGGAACTAAATTAGAGAGTGTTTGCAAGGTGATTACTTAATTTTTTAGTCCCCAGTTGTTTGAAATGAATGATGCTTGCCAGATATAATTTGGGCACCTCAGTTAAGTTAATTTTAATATGTAATTTATTAGAATAGAATTAGTTTTTTAAGGTTAATAAATTACCCAATCAAGAGTATCCCATTAGGAAAAGTAGATTGGTAGGGAGTTCTATTAGTTTGTCACTGTCAACTGTGCACTTTCAAGATTATATACCTCAGCAGGCACTTTATTTACTGGAAATAAAAGCACAAGCTAAGTAATTATACGGTGCAAAATTGAAAAGTTAATGTTTTATTAAAGCAACAGTTACTTAAGATAAGAAATCTAAGAGTAAAATAACATGATCGTCAATACTGTTTAGTTTCAAATGTGTATTGTCGTAAACTAATTGTCGCAAACTAATCGTCAATGCTGTTTAGTTTCAAATGTGTATTGTCGCAAACTAATTGTGGGTATTTGTTATAAACCACCAAATATAGGGGAGGAGGGGGAGGCTCATCTACAGTCTGAAATAGAAATAGCTGGGAGGGAGGGCAATGTAGTCGTGATGGGCGACTTCAATTACCCAGACATAAATTGGGCAAATGGAACCTCAAGTTCAACAAAGGCGGGCCACTTTCTGAACATGTTGCGTGACAATTTCATGGACCAGATGGTGGAGGTCCCAACTAAGAAAAATGCCATCCTAGATTTAATCATTACTAATAAAAGCGGAGTTAATTGAGGATATTGTTATTGGGGAGACACAGGGAAATAGTGATCACAATGTGATTGCTTTCTATATTGGATACAGGAAAAGGAAGCAGGCTGGTAGGACAAAAACCCTTAATTTCAGAAGGGCTAACTTTGATAAACTGTGCCACCTAGTGGGGACATCAAATGGGAAAATGTATTTCACCAACTGAACTCGGACCAAAAGTGGGAATGTTTTAAAAACACCTTACATATTGCCATTGCCAAATGCATACCGTTGGGTAATAAAAGTAAAAGATCACAAACAAAGCCTGTATGGCTTAATAAAACTGTAAAGCATCACATAAAGGAAAAGCGAGTGGCATTTATAAATTATAAGATGGAGGCGACGGCATTGTTGTTCGTTAACTACAAATAATGTAATAAAAGATGCAAACTAGCAATACGGGCAGCTAAAATAGAGTGCGAAAAGCATATTGCCACATATTGTAAAAAAAA